CCTCCTGACACCATGCAGTCACCCCCACCCCCATCTCGGGTGGTAGGAACAGACCTGCACCGATATGCACCTCCTCCTCCTAACACCATGCGATCACCCCCACCCCCATCTTGGGTGGTAGGGGCAGTCCTTGACCAATCTGCACCAACCACACAAGTGAGACCGTTGATACTGTCTCCTTCAATAGATGATTTGCAGAAAATCTCAAAATATGTACAACGTTTTGTACCTGGACCGATGGGCTCATCTGGAACAAAAGCGTATCTCAGAGATCTAGAGTTCAGATTGAGATCTTATCCTAATGCTACGGTTGAGGATAAGATCAGTCTGATACGGCTCACTTCGGACAGAGAGGTGTTCACCTTCATCGAGCGTCTACCAGATGCAACGAGAAGGAATTACAACCTTCTGTGTGAAGCTTTGATCAGAGAATACGACTCCTGCACGGGACCTGCTGGTTTCCCAGCTGCAGACAAGGTCACGCAGGGTAAAACTGAACATCCAAAAGTTTATTACAAAAGAATCTTCCAAGCTTATTTTGGTAACAGAAATGAAACCGGAATGGAAGAAGATGAAGGTTTTAAGTTTGTTTTCAGCAAAAATCTCCACACTGATTTTAGACAATCAGTACAAATGATGGCAAATTTCAGAGAAAAATCCATCAGTGAGATTAAGCAGTGTGCTGTGAATGTGTTTGAAGCATGTTCTCATGCTAAGACGCCCATAGAAGTGTTTCCTAGTGTAAAGGTTAAACCCCTCCCTCTTGAACTGGAAGGACGACGTGCTTCACCGCCTCCTCCTAAGAAAGAGAGAAAACAGTCTGTTCAAAATAACAAACCGCGTCCTGAAGGTGCACGCTGGGACAAAAAAGCTCCTCTCTCAGAGGATGACAGTGATTATCGAAAAAGGGGTGAGCGTAGGACACAACGATATGGGAAACCATATCATCAGGGGCAGTACGTAAAGGAACCCCCGAAAGACGTACCTGACCGTCCCCCACCTCGGACGAAACGAACCGAGGCGAAAAAATCACAAAAGTTCCAGAAACAAGGCCCTACACCTCTGAGCTCGGAAGAGACAGAGAAAATACGCAGGTTGTTAGAAACTTTGAAACACACTGACACGGGAACCCATCCAGGAGCACTATGCAGTAATGTAATTCCTATTACATCTGAGGGTGCAAATGACAACATAACAGATGTCGGTGGAACACACCAAGACATTGCTGTTGTTGCCTCAAACAACCCCTCATCAGAAGAAGGGGGGGTAAACACACACACAAACGATGACGAGTCATCGCAGGCTGAACACTCAGAAACAGCTTCTGCTGTGCTGACGGTTCAGACAAACCAAGATTACACAGATAAGGCTGAACGCGTGAAGAAGCGTCAG